AGGTGGAGAGAAGGCACACAAGCCAGGGATCTTGGGACACGAGGAACCACAAGGTGGTGCATTCCCTGGGTTTTCTTGGGCTCCCTCCTTGGACTTCTCTAACAGTGCCCCAGCATGGCGGTTGGGGTTGGGTGCTTTTTTACAGCCTGGGGAGGGTGGAAGTCTAGGTTCCCCACTTTGCTTTCCTCTTGTGGGTGTGGGTGGGGTCAGAGATTTGTCTGTGGTTTGTCTGCAGTAATGCTATTATTGTCTAAAAGCTCTCTCGCTAGGCTCCCTCTTTCCTGGTCCTTTCCTAGAGAGAGAAGGCGTTTTGGACCTATTTGTCTGCACCTGTTGGCATTTCTGGATTGCCAGTGTCTCCAGCACCCAGTCTGCGATCCATGAGGCAAAAAGAAAACCCAGCGAGTCCACCACCTTGTGGTTCCTCGTGTCCCAAGATCCCTGGCTTGTGTGCCTTCTGTCCACCTTTCACAGTCTTTTTATGCTTGTTTAATATATAATGTCCAGGGTTTTTAATTATATGTAACAGGAGGATAGGAAATCTTCCTTAAAGACAGCTTGTCTCCCTCCAGCCTCTCATACCTCTTATATTAATTTGGATATGTTCAGTTATAAGTAACAGATACCCAAAATGGAATTCTCCATTTTCCCAAAAGCAGAATCTTCACAATTGTTAATTTAATATCTAATTTTAAGCATGGTACATTCATTTTAAGTCACATTTTTTATTGTCAAGATAAATGTATTAAAGTTTCTATATAGCCTTCATGGATAATTTGTATATTCCATATTTGTAGTAATTTTTATTCCTTTGACTTCTGGTTTTGAACCTTACTGCCTTGGTTAGAACTTAATAGATGGTGTTGTCTCTTCCCAGGGTTAATGTGTATTGCTGCTTGGAGCTTCAGGGTTTATATTTGAAATGGGATGAATTTCAGGCTCTATATTTATGAGTGAGCTACTGTTTCCTAGGTTCATTTTTTTTTTTTAATTTTGAATCACGAATGGATGCTCAACTTATCAGACGCCTGTTTTGCTGTGTCTAGGAAAGGTCATAGAATTTTGGTCTTGGGTCTATTAATGATTGTCGGCTTTGGGTACTGTAGCTGATCTCACAGTGGAGCTGATGCTGAGCTGTAGTCAGAAATGCAGTCTGTGTTGGAAGCTTCGCATGTAAACGTGATGTACTTAAGGGCCGGTGCCTGCTCTGAGGGCAGCACTTTGGCCAGTGCACTTTTGTGTGCTCCTCAGGCCAGCCTTCAGACACCTGACTTCCCCGTGGTACATGTGACATGTGCTAGTAAGAGGGGAAGCCAGGTGCAGGGTCCCCGGCTGTGGGCTTCCAGAGCCCCCGCGAGGGCCTGGACTACCTGCCTTTTCACAGGGATCCATGTTATCCCAGTGACCCATGCATGTCTTAGCTGAAATACATAGAGGAAATCTCTCTGTGCTTCAGGTCCGTGCTGAAATTTCCTGGAATGGAAGAGAAGGGGTGCTGCGACTTCTTGGTTGCCTAATTTCATTTCCTATGAGCCCACCCAGAAGGAGGGGCTTGCCCCTGCCATCCAGCTTGAGCCTTAGGGGCTGGTGCTAGAAACAAGCTGGGCTGCTCAGGGCTCCCGTCTGCATGCACACCACACTACACACCCATGCATTCCCACACCCCGCCCACATATCTCTTATATTAATTAGGATGTGTTCAGTTACAAGTAACAAATACCCAAAATGGCAATGGCTTAAACAAGCAGGAAGGCTCTTTCTTCCTTATATACACATTCCAGGCTAGGCACTTTACGGCTGGGATTGCATATCTGATCCAGGAACCCTGGCAGCCCTGTCTCATCCAGTCCACTGCCTGCCATCCCTATTGTGTGGCCCTCATCCGCATGTACCAAGATGGCAGGTAGAGATCTAGCCATTATGCCTGTATCCCCAGCAACAGTATGAGGAAGGTGAGAAGAACAAGCTGTCTTTAAGGAAGATTCCAGAAACTTTCACATGAAGCTTCTACTCATATCTCACTGGCCACACCTAGCAACAAGAAGCTGGGAAATGTAGTTTTCATTCCAGGTGGCCAAGTGCCCAGATAAAAATTAGGGGTTATATTGTGGTGTAGAGGTGGAGAAGGGCCCTGGGGATGGCCAGCTGGCAGCCAGCTAATTCTTCACAGCCATCTTTCCACAGCACCATCCCTGTACTCAGTGGAGGCATTCCACGTGAATCACTCAGGCTTTGTCTGCTGCAGCTGCAGGTCTAGGCCTCCCAATACCTCTCCTTCCCCCTCCTCGGGCCTCCCTGCCAGCCAGATGCCCTCTGTCTTGCTGCCATGGGCCATGGACAGCATCCCTCTGCCTCTTCTGCTCTTCCTTTGCTGCTGGTTCAGCTTTGATGGGACTCAGTTTGCCTGTCATTATTCCAAGTTGTGCAGGGCGGTTGAGGCGATGGGAAGACAAAGCAAGACCCTAAGGCTCTCCCCAGGCTTGTGGTCCTGGATGGAGAGTATGGCTCTCCTGTGAGCACAGCTCCGGGGGCGTTTTGAGAGTCATGACAGAAAAGGAAGAAGCAAGAGGCGGTGCTAGGTGAAGGGCAGAGTTCTGTTTGCTTCAGTTGGGTTTGGGGGATTTTAGAATTTGTAGGTGTAGGCGAGCGATTTAAGAGGCAAAAGAGTAGAGTATGAAAGAAATGAAATCTGGTGGTACTGGGTGGGAAGGAACAACCATAACAGTGACCGCCATTGTTCATTGAGATTGGCATCTACTATGTGTTAGGAGAAGGTTTTCATGTTTTCCTTATTCTCAGAACAACCCTCTGAGGACTTTGGGATGATTATCACCATTTCAGAGAGGGTGGAATTGAGATAGAGCTTAACTAATAAGTTCAAAAGTGGCAGATCCGGGATTTGAACCCAGATGTCTGACTCCAGTGGGTCTTCACCACTACACTAGGGTGCTGCTTTATACCTCCAGAACCAAGACTTGAACCCAGGCATCTGGTGCCAGAGGGTCTTTGCCACTGCAACAGGGTGCTGCTTTATACCTCCAGAGTCCCCTCATGCATATTTCAGTGCAGGGCTGCATGCGCCAAAGACCTCTGATGCTTGGCTGAGGTCAGAGAAATCCAGGGGTGGCTGATGTTCTTGTGAACCCGCGGCCATCAGGTGTGAGTGAAGCTTGCACTTGTTGTCTTGGGGTCTTATGACTGGGTGACCTTCTCTGCCCGGCTGTTTCTGTTTCCCACCTTTTCAGCCATCTTTGACCTCGTGGCAAGGGCAGTTTCCATAACTCTGCAGGTGTGTCAGGTTGCAACAGGGCCACCTGGTCTTGCAGTGTGTGGGCTTTTGTATGCACCTGGCTGAAGGCTTCTCTCACTGACTGCGCTTTGTCCCCAGAGGGGTCTGACGTCCACCAGTCAGGTACAGACTCACACGAGCCCCACACACACCCTGTGGGGTTTGGCTCTTCTGTCACTGAGGCTGTCCCTGCACCACACCTAGGGCGGGAAGATAAAGAGTGGCCCAGCCACCTGCATCTGGCTCTGCACTCTGCTGTGATGTCCACGTCCTGTGTGACCTCATTTAGTGAATTGCTGTGGCCAGGTCAGCCTTTTGCAGCATCTTCCTCTATGTCAGGGTTGGACAGGCCTGACTTCAGTGTAGTTCCGTGGTGCAGAGCACCAGGCTCTGGGCAAGGGTCAGGCAGGCCTCGATCCTGGATATGCATGCTCGGCCCCTAATGGACATCATTTAGGGCTAGGCCTGACCTACTTCCTCAGAAATTTATATAAAATTATCTTGGAAGACTTTCCAAATGTATCAGATAGATATTTCCCTTATAAAATAAAGCATACACATTCAATGCTGTTAGTAATATGAAGAAAAGGGGTGTTCCTCACAACCCACCCCCACTTCTGTCATCACTTTCACGGTAACCCACCCAGCAATTAGGATCTGCACGACTTTCCATTGCTACTCTGATTATCTCAGGCAGGAAAGCCTTCCCTGCTTTAGGCAGGCCTTAGATGGTTTGCACGCATGTGCTCCTGAGAAAGGCACACGTGGGGAGTGTCTCCCCCAGTTCAGGGGCATGGCCTCATGCTCCCAGAGGGGCAGTCCCTGGATGCACTGCCTCACTGGCGGTAGGACTGGCACTGGGCTGGGGACAGACAGGGGAGGGAATGTGTCTCAGCAGCCAGGCAGCTGACATGCAGTGCTCAGGCAGAGCGGGGTCCTTGAGTGTCGCCCAGGCTGGGGCAGCACAGGGCCAAGGGAATCTTGTGGAAGCTGCTAGGTGGAATGAGTGAGCACACATCACTTCTCCCTGTTGATCTAATGTTCTAGGTAACACTTACATGGAAAGTAAACTCTTCTTTTGTTTTCCTTTCCCAAAGCAAAGGGTGGGGAGGAGATGTGAGAGGGACTCTGGAGAAGTGCAGCGTCTTCAGGCCATATTTGCAGTAACCCTGTTTCTCAAAATACCCAGGGGCAACCAGGACTGAGGGCAGGGATGGATCCCTCCAGGAATGTGAGAGTTAAGGTCTCCCTCACACCCTGGCCCAGATGAGGAAATCAAGGCCTGGAGAGGGTGGAGGAAATTATCCAAAGTTGCACGACTCCTATTAAAAACACAAGTGTTTATTCCATTCTCTTGGTTAAAAAAAAAAGACAAAGACCAAGAGAAAATTCCACATTTTCTACAAAGTCACTTATCTTTGTACAAATCATACTAAGTAGGAGGACCCTGTATTTTTCATGGGAGGACATCTGCTTTTCGGGAGCAAGTCTTGAAGTCTCTTTGTGAGGAAATTTCTTTTGGGGCTGTGGTGGGTGGAGTGGGCACCTTGTTTGGGGATCAATGTGTGGGTGCCATGGGTCTGACTGGGTGCTCAGGAGGTGAGGGTGGCACCTAGTCAGAGCCCCCGGGCAATGGGCATGACACACCAGCCAGCCAAGGAAGGGCCGAGGAGCCGTCTTCTGATGTGTGTGCCCTTTTCTCCTTTACCAGGAGCGGCTCCTGATGAGTCTCCTGCCCCGCAACGTTGCCATGGAGATGAAGGAGGACTTTCTAAAACCCCCTGAGAGGATTTTCCACAAGATTTACATCCAGAGGCATGACAACGTGAGGTAGGCTTGTCTGGCTTTGGCCCTGTGTGAAGGAAGGGGCAGCTGGTGGGCATCTACTCACAGGGAAGTGGGTCCTGCAAAAGGTGGGGTGGGGTGGGGGGGGTGCATGTGACACCTGCTCTTTCCGTTTTCCCATTTCAACTCCCTGGTGCTTCCCGTGTGGGCTAGAGGGTCGGAACTCTGTCCCAAGAACCTGGTCTGGGCAGGGGCATTTGGGGCTGGAGATCTGTCCATGTCAGGTTCACATCTGAACATTATGGTAGTTGGTACTGGGCTCTGGGATAGGCGTTCTCCTGTTCCTCACTCTGTTCATCTCATAACATCCCTAGGAGGTTGGTATTGTTATTCTCATTTTACAGGTGAGAAAACTGAGCCTCAGAGTGAAGCAACTTGGCCAAGACACTCTGAGATTTACTTGTTTGTTTTTAGGATTCTATTAAAAAGTATTTAGTTTTATTAAATTGTACATTTAAAAAAAAAAACTGTTTACTGAGGTGTAATATACCTAGCATGGATGAGTGTTGCCAGTTTGGGGACCATAGTTTACACAGATGTGCACTCTGCTGGGAGATGACAGTTTTGAAGGACCCCAACACACCTTCACTTTCCACTGTTTTTTGCTGATTCTTCTGGAAGTTGGTGTCAGTCCTTCCTGTCCAGTGTGCCTGCTGGGGCAGCTCAAGGGTAGAGGAGGCCCCTCCAGACCCAAAAAGTTAAGAAAAACTCAAACAATGTATTGTTTTGTGTTGAGCACTGCACACTGAGACCTTGCAAGTCCGTTCTCGTTCATCTGAAATGACTTGAGAAGGTTTACTGCTGAAACCCCTCCCAGTCACTGTTTGAGTTCTCACTGAGAGCCAGCTCATTGACTGTGGTCTTATTGCATGCTCACTAGGAAGTGTTCTTGCAGGTAGAGCTCATTTATTCCTCTCTCATCCTGTGCGTAAGGGACTAATGTCATCCTCATTCTCCAGATGAGGAAGCTGAAGCAGGGTGGGGCAAGGCCCATGATGTATGGAAAGTAGCCATGGAACCAGCACTTGAACTCAGGCAGGATGACACGAGAAACTGAGCTCAGAACCTCTCTGCTAAATATCCTGTTCTGTTTAATATGATCATGCCCCTGTGAACCATGGATATCGTCACCTCCATTTTATGGATGAGGAAACTGAGGCTTAGCAGAGTGAAGCCTTTATGAATGTCAGGGCTGGGACTTGACCTGGGATTAGCTGACTCTAATGTCTGCCTCGGCATTTCACATTTTGCCCCATTGCCTCTCTTTAATGGGCAAGGACATGATACAGGGACCTAGAACCCTACTGGAAGACCAGACCACCAGCACGAGCCAGGCAGCACCTAGAGATGAAGTAGGACTTCCCATAGAGCAGGGAAAGTATCAAATGTCAAGGGACTCCTAGGTGCTACAGGTGGAGGTAGACAAGATGGTGTTGACATCCAATAGCCATTCCCTCAGCTCTCTCCTCTGACCTGGAAAGAACCACTTGGTTCTTCCTAGGTCAGAGGAGAGAGCTGAGGGAATGGTGGAGAGTAACAATTTTCCTTCCCTGCTGAAAAATCTCCATTTTTGTCTGCTTGTGGGCTCCTTGGTTCCCCAGCATCTTGGGGGCTGATTCTACTAGGTGTAGGTGTGACAGCCTGAGAGCAGAGAGGTAGTCGAGCCTACTTGTCACCGATGGAGCCAGCAGTCAGAGACATCTTTTCTGTATCCCAGATATGAATTCTTCACTGCCCTCCTTACAGTCCTTGTTAAAACTCTCTAGTGTTTTTGCACCTCTCCAGAGTTAAATTCCAAATTCAGTATGCCATTCAGAATTCATAGCAGGCTGACATCATCGGGAATAGAGGAGTAGGGACCTCCGAAAATCCTCTCCTCATGAAAGCAATTGAAACACTTCAAAAACTGTCAAAACCAACTTTCTAGAACTCTGGAAACTAATCAAAGGTGTGCAATAATCCAGGAAGTATTTATTCAAGAAAAATGGCTAAATCTCAGTAAGAACAGTGAGCTCTGTGATGTTTTAACTTGCCCTGTTCCCATCCCTCTTTCATCAGCTCCATGGTAGCCTTGAAAACCAATGGCCACAAATTACAGTGAAAACCAGCACACTGGCATCCACTGGAGGAGTCAGAAGGAGGTTAGGACTCTTTCAAAACCCCATTCTCAAAGAACTGTCATTATTCAGCCTGTCTGGATGTTCCCAAGAAAGTCCCACTCACAAGGCTTATCTTTTTTTGACCTGACTTATTGCTCACCCAGTGCTAGCAGACTTTTCCCCAGAGCATTTGTCAAAAACAATCAGCAGCAATTGTTTCAGATCGCAGCCACCTAAGGCAGTGCTAACAGTTGAGGCCAACCACTAGCCAACGAAAATTCAAAAGGAAAAACTGTGGAATGAAATGCCCATAGGGTGTTTTGAAAAGCTCTAGCATATTTCTGGGAATCTAGAAGGCCATGGGCATGCATAGGGCTGTGTGCATGCCCAGGGCTGTGTGCATGTTTAGGAAATACCTTCAAAGGCCTTATATTCTCTCCTGTGGCTAATCCTGAGGCTCAGCACAAGCAGGAATTGAAGGCTAAGGCAGAGTTGTCAGCTCCCTAGCTGAGTGTTGAAGACATGCCCCAACACTCTGAAAAGGCTGAGAGATTACTGGTTCCAGGCATTTAAGGGAATCTCTGTCCATTCATTAGTTGACCACTAAGCTAACTGATCAGAGACTTCAGAGGCCACACATTAAAAAGAATACAGACTTTACAGAATTAGTTCAGGAAAGTCACTAATAAAACAAACAGCAACAACAACAAAAAACAGCTGCAACTACAAACCTTGGGGAGAGGGGAGAATCTGATTTCCAGAATTGGCACATTATATTATTTAAAATGTCTAGCTTATAACCAAAAAAATATGAAATGTGCAAAAAACAAACAAACAAACAAACAAAAAACCAAAAAACAAAACCCCAAGAAAGTATGGTCCATACATGGGAAAAAACTACACAGTCAATAGAAAGTGTTCTTGAGAAAGCGTAGATGTTGGACTTATTAGACAAAAAATAAATCAGCTATTTTAAATATGTTCAACAAACTGAAGGAGACTGTATCTAAAGAACTAAAGTATGAGAACAATGTCTCATCGAATAGAGAATATCAATAAAGCAATAGAAAGTATAAAAAGGTATCAGATAGAAATCTTGGTGTTGTAAGGTACAATAACTGAAATGAAGAGTTCACTACAGGGTCTCAGCTGCACATTTGAGCAAGCAGAAGAAAGAATCAGTGAGCTTGAGAATAGATCAATTGAGATTGCCTAGTAGGAGGAACAGAAAGAAAAAATAAAGAAAATTGAACAGAGCCTCAGAGACCTGTGGGATACTAAGTGGTCCAACATACACATAATGGGATTCCCAGAAGGAGGGGAGAGAGAGAAAGGGACAGAAAGAATTTTTGAAGAAATAATGGCCAGAAACTTCCCAAATTTGATTTAAAATATTAATCTACACATACGAGAACTCAGTGAACTCCAAGTACCATAAATTGAAAGAGAGAGATCCACAGGGACAAAAAGAATCTTGACAGCAGCAAGAGAGAAGTGACTCATCACAAACAAAGGAGCCTCAATGTGATTAACAGCTGATTTCTCATCAGAAACGTGGAGGCCAGAGGCAGTTGGGTGACATATCCAAAGTCTTGAAATAAGGCCATCAAACAAGAATTCTGTATCCAAAAAGAATCACAGCAGCTGGCCCTGCTGTTCCCTCTGCCTTGGAGCCCTCTTCTCCACTCTATCAAGTGGTCCAACATACACATAATGGGATTCCTAGAGAAGAGGAGAGAGAGCATTGACATGCTCATTTTCTCTCCTCCCTCAGGCCTTGGCTGAAAGGTCACCTGACCAATCCTAGCTAAGATGACAGACACTACATATCCATCTTCCCTGCTGTATTTTTCTCCATAGCTACATGCCATACTTGAATATACTCTATGCACTGACTCTCCCTCTTACCCCTAGTCTAGAATGGAAGCTCTGTTATTCACTGCTAAATCCCTAGCACCTAGAACAGTGCCTAGCACATACAGCCCTTAATAAATATGTGATTGTTGATTTGATGAATGAATGAGTTATTAACACATATAAATTATTATAAATAATTATTGAGCTCTTTATTAGGTGCAAAGTATTGTTCTAAGTGCTTTACATTTGTTAATTCATTTACTCCTACAACCCTATGAGATAGGCACTAGTCTTCTTCCCACTTTCAGATGAAAGGGCCAACACATGGAGGGATACAAGTTGCCCAGGGTCCCATTGCTGGAAATGGACAAGCTGGACCTTCTCACTAGAGTCTGTGCTTTTCCCCCCAGCTCTCCTTATGGCCTTTCCTGAACTGGCTTCTGGGGTCTCCTCTTCCTGGGAGCCTTTTGCTCTGCTTCTTACTGCTTGTATCATGTGCTCTAGCCATTCAGGGTTTCTTGTTTGACAAGTCTCTAGAGTGTGTCTCACCCATCTTATATTGCATATGCTATTTACTCTTCTGAATCCATTTTCCTCCCTTCCTCCTATTCTTCCTCCCTGCCTCCCTTTCTCCCTCCCTCCCTTCCTTTGCTTCCTGCCTGCTTTCCTGCCTGCCTTCCTGCTTTCCTGCCTTCCAGCCTGCCTGCTTTCCTGCTTTCCTCCCT